GGATGCCCCCCCCCCCCCCCATTTAGGCTTTATGTGGTTTCTATTAACTTTTATGGCAAGAAAGGAACTATCAAGTGAACCATTCCTTTAAAATTCTTATATAGTGAATCTAATCCAGGTTATTTATTGTTCATCATATTTACTGAAAGGATATAATATTGTTTGAAATTTCAAAGGGCATTTGAAATAAAAACAAAGCAAAAAATATGCCATTAATTCAGATTAAAACAGGGTTGTTTTTGCTTTTATAAAATATTACCAGAAAGTAAAAAAAAAATAATTATATATTTAAAACATTAATGTCTTTACTATCAATTTAATGCATCCTTGCTGAATAATTTCTTTAAAAGATATATATAAACTTTTGAATGGTTATGTGTGTGTGTATATATATAATTCTATAATATAAAGTAATTCTATAATATAAAATGTGCCCTTTGATAGGACAATATTTGGCCGAGATACAACTATTTGAAAATCTGGAATCTGAGGGTGCAAAAAAATCTAAACACTGAGAAAATTGCCTTTAAAGTTGTCCAAATTAAGTTATTAGCAATGCATATTACTGATCAAATATTAAGTTTTGATATATTTACGGTAGAAATTTACAAAATATCTTCATGGAACATGATCTTTACTTAATATCCTAATGATTTTTGGCATAAAAGAAAAATCGATAATTTTGATCCATACAATCTTTTTTTTGGCTATTGCTAAAAATATACCCCAGCGACTTAAGACTGGTTTTGTGGTCCAGGGTAACAAATATGTTTTTTAAATATAAGCCATAGCCCCTTCTGTGTGTTTGTGTGTGTGAATGTGTGTGTGTGTGTGTGTGTGTTTGTTTGAGAGAGAGCGACCTCACTGCCTTATGCTGTTTATGACACAACTGCCTTGCCGCTACACTGCCATTGAACAGATAAGGTGACCTGTCATGTCACAGCAGTTGGGCTGAATGTCTCACTCACTTGTGTGTATGTGTGCGTATGTGTGCGTGTGTGTGTGTGTGTGTGTGTGTGTGCGCCTGTGTGTGTGTGATTTCTCTATGAATGGAGAATGTGATCTGTGATATGTAACACCAAAGGGGCCTTTCTCTCTACTCTAAATATAAATGTGATAAGATCCCTTTCGCAGGAACCTGAGAACACCACAAAGCTGCAGTGTGTTTGTGTGTGTGTGTGTGTGTGAGTGTGTGCGCTTGTACAGTAGTCTTTTCTATAAATGTGTGTTTATGAGAACATGTACTCTATTCAGTTCCCAGCACAAAGACGTACAGAAAATAACATTTAGCTTGGATCATGAAATACTTTCACTTCTGATATCTGTCAGGGAATGACGTAGAAAAGTGTACAGCACATCCAAAATAGGGGAAGTCTGGAGTCTAAATGAGTACTTAATGGGTAAAACACTAGTTTTCTCGAGAGTGCTCATCAGGATTTCTAAGCAAGAGGTCTCAAAATTACAGAGTAACAATGAAACATGGGACGTTGCCTGTGCATCTCCAGCAGTTGTCCAGTAGTCTCTGTCCACTCAACCCATCCTGTCAATCAAATATCTCTTTAAAGGGGTCATATGATGCGATTTCAATTTTTCCTTTGTAAAAATCGATGCTTTTCAGAAAGGCGGGGCATAGAGGAGAAACAATAATATACAGTATGTGGAAAATAATAATTATTTTTTTAAACTTTAAACCGCATAAACACATTTCATTACACCAAATACACAAAATAATGTTCTTTTTAGCAACATCATATGACCCCTTTAAATCTCATCACCATCTGAACTCATCCAACACACTGACTGCATCTCACATCATTTGGGAGACACTAATTTTGCATACTATATAGCAAGGGTTCCCAACCTTTTTTTTTTTGTCAGTTGAACCCCTGGGAATGTTTGTTTGTTTGTTTGTTTGTTTTATACGTTTGTTTATTTATTTATAATTAATACCCTAGATATTTGAAGTAATGGTTTAATCTTTTGTTAATTTTAATAAATAACAATTAGACTAATTTTTTAATTTTACACATTTAAAAATATGAGGCATTTTTGATTGCCAGTTCACACCTTTAAATGCATAAAAAAATCATCTACTATAATACAATTAAATATTT